AAATGCGGTAACATTTTTATGATTACCCATCAACAACAAATAAAAAGCAGTGTTGATAGACCCTAAGTTCAGGATGCGCCACGCATTCTACTATCATTCAAAATATAAGGAACATTTTGAATGCGATTTGGCCTATACAGACCCCATATCGTGCGCGTGCTAAACAGCGGCCTGCTTGCCACTAACCCAACATCGAGAATATTTATTTATTTATTGCACGCTTAGGTGCGCTATACTAATTCACATCTGAGCATCAAAGAAAATTAGGGAACACAGAACATTAACTAAGTGAACCAGCTAGGCAGCGCTGAAGATAATAAGGAGATTCTTTAGGACGAATTTATCAAAAGCCGAATTTCAGCAAATGCAATTAGAAGGACTATGTAGGGCCCAGTTGAAGTTGTACTCAAATAGAAATGTATTCAGTATTCGTTAGTCAGTATTCAGATGTCGTTGGGCGGATAGCGCTAGGGAGAACGCCACTCCTAGGCGGGCACGAAGCATACGCATGGAATCAGAAACTGAATTTTCGGATGTTAGGTATTCCCTACCCCTAACAATTCAGTTTCTGACCCGCCACAGATCAAATCCAATTCTAAGAACTAGTTTTTGGCGACTACACTCATTCTGGGTATCTCAGGGAGGTTGTGATCTGGGGACCCCCTTATCAAGCACTTGGAACTCGACTTAATATTACAGAGCTACAAGATGTGAAGGTATAAAAAACGAGCATTGGAGTTCACCTTCCCTAGTATTCTTATTCCCAGTGAAACTAGGTTTTTAATGTAATAAATACAAACAGTAACTACTATAAAAAAGGCGGAGGAAAACGAAGTTTGTTCAAATAAAGCCTTTCAGGGCAAATTCTATATCGCCACTATTAAGGATACAATTAGTTGAGGTTCGGCGCGAAAGAAGCTCTGCTGGAGACTCAGAAGAGGTCGAGCCTTAGGAAACTGCCATTCAAGCGATCGAACAAAGAAGCAATCACATGCGCGCCAATGTCAAATAGCTTGCATGAATCACTCGATATAACACACTGAATCGACATGCACCACATGGCCGATGAAAAGCGTTCAAAGGAACTACGCCAGCTAGTGTGACAGAATTCAATTAAGCAGTTTCTTCATAAGGTTATTCATCAATGCAGCTCCAGTCGAAGCATTTCTGCCACGAAAGTTGCCTGGCAAGAATTCCAATACCGAAATATTTGGTGAAATCAACGAGTACATCACCTTGCATCACATTTCATTTATATGACAATTTTTCAGTTCCGTAAATGGGTGCCACCGTAACCCACGTTGACGTAGTGGACGGTGTTTGAATTTTGAAGGACTATGCCAAGGGTAGCAGCGGAGTGCACGTGGAGAATCGCACCCAGTTGAACGCCGGTTGTACGATGCTCGTACCAAAGCTTTGGGTCAACTGCGCTCCAGTGCCAATGTTGATTACGGTGGAACCAATCTGACGTGCTGGCAAATCCTTTTGTCAGTTTACTTGATAAGATGAATGCATGTACGTTTGTATAAGGTTATCACGATAACCCAGAAGCAGAAGATGCAATTTCTGCTTCCCGGTTCCAGCTTTTTTTTGGAGTATTCTCTGTCGTGGGCGGAAGTGGTGTAGTGGCAAGTGGCACGCTTACCACGCGAGCGGTCCGGGGATCAAATCCTGGGTCGTGAGTCGCCCGGGCCAACCAAGCCTTCCATCCCTCCGGGGTCGGTTAATTGGTACCAGACTTGTCTGGGAGGATAAAAACACTGACTTGTACATCGGCTGGCCCCCGCAAGTCATTGTATAGGCCACATCGCATTCAAACGCCACTACGAATGTACAAATGGAAGTAGAATGCGTGCCGCATCCCAAAAAGGGATTGATCAACGGCAAATGCTTTATCCTTTATCCTTACGCTGAGTGAAAGCCTTGATTCTCTGTCGCACTATTGTCGCTCCCTTTGGAAAACGGCACGCCTTTTCAGACTTATCAAATAAACTGACAAGACAAATAAAACAAAATTCAGAAGCGCCGACCTCATATTTGGCTATTCAAACTAAAAAGATGCAGAGCAAAAAAAGAGCAGAAAGGGATGTTGGAATCTGGCGCAATAGCTACTGAATGGTCACCTCTCTTACGATTAGAAAAGGCTATCGACTAAAGTTGCTACCTCCGCTTCTTGTGATTAAACGCCACTACCGTACCAGTTTAGGCCTTAAAATCAATGTCAAAGTGAAACAAAAAATTCCGTACCGTATTCAGGACAGTTTCCATTGAGCACGTCGTAGTTGACGAGCATTGACTCTGTCAATGGATCCCGATTGACGTCGTTGAAACCGTCGTGATTGGGCTAAAAGAAAATGATTTGACGATTCAAATGGATATGTACAGATATTCCCAAGGAAAACAATGGAATTGAAATTGGGGCAATTCGAAAAAAAAATTAGATGATTTCAGAAGTGCAATGAACTATGATTGTGGGAATGCAAGAGGGAAAAAGAGAAAGCGATCTATAGCGACCAATTTAGGTGGAATTACATATTTCAACTCAGAAGGAAGCCTAACCTTCCCAGCATGGAAAAATCCATGCCTCTCCAAGGTGCCATACAATAACATAGCTATAGGGGGTTGCATTTAGAGGCTAAGTTAAACTGGACTTCGAGGTCATTTAACAACAAAGTGTTATGTATTATGTTTCCAACCAGAATCCAAACACTAAAATCATCCGTCAATCTAGGGGAAGGGAGGGGTTTTTTGCCAAATCACTATGAAACGTGATAAGGCCTGCTCCCGAAGAAAGCAATCATTCTTCTCCGTTTCAGTAAAAAACTAATCAGCTGAGCCGGGTCAAGCGTCCTTTGTTCAGTTCAAGGATTTTATTTTATGATTGTGGAGGTCTTTCTTTTCAAGAATTTTCTCCAATTATGGAAGAGAAAAGTGAAGAAAAAGTTCTTGTAAAATTAAGATTTTTGCAAAATTTGAAAAAGGAGTCGGTAAAGTTTTGCTATTCCAACAGCAACCCCCCCCCATCGGCCCTCGTAGCACTTTGGGAATGGTGGAGTGGCTAATCGAGTCCCCAACATCCTAAAAA